TATACACAATTTTAATTTCATTTAAAGAATCATCGTCTAAATTATTGATTTTGCTGCATATTTTCTTTTCTTGTCTTCAAACAAATCTGGAATTTCAGCATAAAATGTTTGCAAAAATTCTCTCCAGATTAAACTGTATAGTGACCTTGTGCAGCTTATGGTCCAGATGCACCTAGTTTGCCCCAAGAAGGGATTAGAGAAGTTAAGTCTACAGTAACTTAGTGATCTTGCAGCTTGTCGTCTCTGCAGAAAGTGCAGAGAGAGCCGAGGAGCCTCATTCACGGTAAATCGACTCCGTGCCCAAAGAAGAAGTCGAATCTATCATAATTAGTGATGTTGCTCCCTATCGTCCCAGCCGAAGGTGCCTAGGAGCTTCACTCACATCAAACATATTCTGTGCCCAAAGACGGGATTAGAGTTGACTCAAAAGTAACTTTAGCTCTGCAGAAAGTAACGTAAAGTACTCTCGGAGAATAAAATTAGAGATGTTTATCTGTACCGTAAAATAGACTCTCTAAAGTCTTCCATTCACAAGGGGTATATTTGTTGGTACTTTTGTGTTGCTTTCAAAACGGTGGATGGGTTTGAACCTGTAATTGCACCAAACCAGAAGTCCTTCTTCAGTCCGCACTTGCACTCCGAGAAGACCTGCAAAGCCCCGAGGTGGAACTCGGGGTAGACACTCCGATGCTTAAGTCAGCAATAATCGGGGCTACCTTTAGAGCGGAGATAAAAAGAGCTTAGGGTTGGTTTCAATTACCTTTCTGAGGTGGCCCCTGGGGGTATTTATAGGCTTTTGTGAGGTATCCACGTGGCTTGCTTAGCAGGATAATCGGAGCCTGACGTGTCTATCCAAACGATTATTTCGGGATCGGGAATTTGAGAGGTATTCAGATGCACGGATGTCCACCATACTTGTTGTGCCACTCATCATAAGGAATCAGGTGCGGGCATGCTTATTGTCATTGTCATGCAGCTATTTGAGCAGGAAGCTTTGGATTCATTTCTCACTTCGGTCATAAAGGAATTACTGTAGCAATCCGAGGCTTGACACCTCGGACTTGTCCTTACACTATTCCCCCCCGAAGTCATTCACTTGTGAATGATGTTGCTGGGGATAATGAGAGGAGTGCATGAACAAAGAAAATATGGATAAGTCATGGAAGTATAAGGAAGAAAGCTGTAATTTAAATTTAGACATAGCCGTAGCTAATAATGAAATACGTAACAGTGGGTCATACTGGGGTGCCTTAAATAGAATATGACCGGAGCGATCATGGCCGTGGTCGTGGTGAAAATAATGACCGGAATCATAATGTAAAAGATGATGACCGGAGTTATAATGGAGCCAAGGTCATGATAAAAAATGATAACTGGAGTTATAAAGGCCAAGGCCGTGATGGAAAATGATGACCGGAGTCATAATGGCCGGAGCCGTAACAAAATATGATGACCGGAGTTATAAGGGCCGGAGCCGAGGTAGAGTATGTTACATGTGGTCGCAGTAACCAGGACCGAAGTAGAACATGTCTCTGTGGCCGGAGCCGAAGTAAAACACTTGCTCGTCAAAAAGTGTAATTGTAAAAGTAAGCAGAAGTGCTGAGCTGGGCTTAAAATATGATGACCGGAGTCATAATGGTCGGAGCTGTAATAAAATATAATGACCGGAGTCATAATGGCCGTAGCCGAAATAAAATGTGTGATACTGGGTCACTGTGACCGAAGCCGATGTGAAATGTAATGCATGATTATTGTGGTCGGAGCCGAGGTGAAACACTTGCAAAATTGAGAATGTATAAAAGTGAACAAAGGTGTTGAAATGGGCGTAAATGGGCCCGTGTAAAAATACTGATATAGGTGTGACAGTTGTCCTTGAAATGACGTGCGTAATAAATGTGGTCATAAAAAGATAACTGCTACAGCTAAACGGGCAAAAATTAAAAAACGAACCGTCAAATTCAAAACGGTACCGTTTGGGGTTGGCCGTCGAATTCTAAACGGTGCGAATAGGATCCGTAAGATTAAATGAATCTCAGCCATTGAGATCTAATTTTGCTCAGAAGTATAAATAAACATTTTTTCTGCAGAGGGAGGTTTACTTGCATTTCTTTCCCTGCGAAACTTCTGCGAAAAGCTTTATTGTGCGTTTCCTGTGCATGAACTGCAGTAACAACTGGGGATCTCTACATCAAATCTTTCGAAACTGAAATCAGGTAATGTATGACGAACCTCTGATTTTGAGTTAATCGAAGTGTCTCTCTCCTTTCTCCCTTTCTATGATTGATTTAGAGTCCTTTGAAGGAAGTTAGGGTTAGAGGTGAGGAGGATTTTGAATGTTCAACAAAAAAGGGGGGGTTTTCTTTTTTTTTTTTCTTTTTTCTTTTTTTTGGATCCTGACTTATTCCTCCCCCCTACTTCGTGCAGAGTTTGACAAAATGTTCTCAAAAGGAACAGAAAGTGTAGTTGGGAGTGAGGTGATGCCCCTGGACTATGGGAGCATGGACGCAGAGAGTAGTCCATCTCCATCTAGTTCGGAGAAAATGGTGGAGGGGGTGAGAGGAGATGAGGTGGTGGAGGTTGGGGAAAAAGAGGTGGTTAGGGTAGATAGCATACCCATCACCGTAGTAGAAGTAGAGGGTAGAGGAGAGAGAGATTATGATGTGAATGCAAAGATAGTGGAGGAGGTGAAGCAGTATAGATTTGAGCTAAGGACCAGGGATAGCCTGGGTCACTTAGTAGAAAATTACGAGATCTCGTCTCGAGTGTTAGTTAGGCCAGCTGGGGTAGAGGAGAGGGCGTGCTCTACTCCTCGAGATCACTGGATGCCTGTGTATTCCCACTATTTGATAGCGAGACTCAGGTTTCTACTTCCTGAGTTGCTAGTGGGTTTACTGTTAGATTACAACATATGGTTGACACAGTTGGTCCCCAATGCAATGAGGGTAATAATAGGATTTTTAGTCTATTGCCGAGCTCAGGGGATTAGCGTGCCAACTGTAAATATGTTTAAGTATTTTTTGGTTTTAAAGGGGGGTAGTAGGAGAGATAAAAGGTGGTATTATTTCACCCCGAGGGTAGCTAGTAAGGAGAGTAGGTCGTTGTTTACAGCGGGTCCTTCATCCATTAAAGGATGGAAAGAGAAATTCTTTTTTGTAGATGATACGGAGTGGGGGAAAGGGGATGCCGAGGTGAGGGAGTTAGCCTCCTGGAAGGCCAAAAGGGCCAACCAAAATAGGTTTAGCTTAAATGAGGATGAGGAGGAAGAAGTGGGGAGGTTGGTGAGGAAGGGGGGGATTTATTAAACATTTTGGACCTCACCAGTGCACAATGCATAGAAGCTGCCGAGCTCTATGGGCTAAGCGCTTTGAGTGAAGGTTGGTTTAGTTCTGCATTGTAGTACTGAATGTAGAGTAATGTAGAGTATAGAACTGTGATTAATATTGTGTATTCTTGCTTTGCAGCTGAAATGGACCAGTTCTTGAACACTGCTGGAGGAGCGGCCATCCCCAAGAAGCCAAGGAAGAAGTCAAAGACTTCAACCAAGCAAATGGATGAGGGGAGGGCGAGGAAGGAGGTAGTGCCCACGACTTCAGCTGAGGCAGAGGAGGAGGTGCCACAGTTGAAGAGGAAGGGGTGGGAGGAGATGAGGGCACTGCAGAAGAAGCAGAGGGTGATGGAGGAGGAGACGGGGAATGAGGTCCCTGTGTTCGTACCTCAGCCTTCTCCTGTTGAGCTGGACCCTGAGCTCAGACAGTTGGAGGAGGGGGTTGAGGTACGAGCTCCTGGTAAGGGAAAGGGCCCTGTTCCCCCACTGAGGCCTCAGAGCAGCTTGTTCGCGGTGAAGAACATAACGGGGGCTAGGTGGTTCATCAACAACACCTTCCCCGAAGTGGACAGATGCAACGCACGGGAGGAAGCTCTGAGGTATGGTGGAGCGTCCGTGGTGAAGAACGTTCTAGAGGTATGTTAAAGTATTGATGTTGTTTAGTGAATCTGTTTCGCCTTCTCTTCGTTCTGTCTTAACCTCGGCTTTGATCTGCAGAGCTCGAGCTGGGTGAATGGTCTAGCCCAGGAATTCAGGGAAAGCCTGAAGGAGCACTCACTCTTGCAAAGGCAGTGTGACCAGCTGCAGAAGGAGAATGAGGAGTTGGAGAAGAAGAATAAGGAACTGCAAGAGTCTCTGAACGAGGTGGTTCCAACTGTTTCACAGTTGGAGTAGGAGAGGGCTTCCCTGAGCACCAAGCTCACTTTTGAGGAGAGCAAACGAAGGATCGCTGAAAGCGAGCGTGAGGCTTAGGCGCAAGAAATGAAGCTAATGACAGAGGCATTCAAGGAGCTGAAGGGGAATATGCGGAAGTTGGTGCATAATGGGATGAAGGAGCACATCAGCAACTTCATCAGTTCCAGCTCGTTTGATAGCATCGTCAACTTGTACCGGCTGCCCACTGCCATCATCGCTTTCACAGACTGCAGAAAGAAGGTGAAGGCTGAATATCCCGAAGTGGATGTGACAAAGATCACCTTCGACGAGCAGGAAGGAGGAGTGGAGGAGGATGGCGAGAGCGTGTCAGCAGACTTCCGTCCTCAGATTAAGCTGAGGTGGGAGGATGATGCAGACAGTCTTGCTGTTTTCCCTCCACAGTTCGACTTCGAGTTCGTTGCAGTGGAGGAAGAAGGGGCAGAGGTAGAGGAGGACGAGATGGAGGCAGGAGTGGAGGGAACTAAAGTGGATGAGAGCCAACTAGTTCCAGAAGTGGAGATTCATCCAGTTCCTTCTGATGATGAGCAGCCTCCTCTGCCAGACGAGCAGCAGCCGACACAGCCACCTCCTCCTGCTGAGCAAGAACCAGTGGAGCCACCTCTCCCAGCAGAGAAATAATTATGTTTGTTTGTTTTTAATTTTTTGTAAAGACATTTAAATAATTTGTAATACTTATATTATTCTTAATGAAAGTTCATTTTTGAAATAATGTGTTTATTTGTGTTTGCCTGTTTATTATTATATATTGATAGAAGAACTGAGACTACCTTTAAAAAGGATAGTTAATAAAAAGAAATTAATCACTTTAGAAACGAACTCCAGAGAAGTAAACCACTTCAAGTGAATTAATAACAAGTATATCACTGTAAATGAATTGAGGGAAGATAAAGCACTTCAAATGTGAAGTGACATTTATTAACAGAAATGAAGTTCAAGGAATGAATGAACTGATTGACCTCAGATACTGAGGCGGTCCCTTTATTTTCTACTTTATGCTTCTTACTTGAGAAACAAATTGCGTTGTTGATGTATTTTTGTGACAAGCTCGCAAGTATTTATTCAAGATCTTTGCTATGTACTCTTTTTTAGGCTCTTCAATGAATAAATTTCATCGTTTTATAATTAGTATAAATTTCCTTGATTTGGAAAATCACAGTAGAAAAACTTCACTTCCTAATCCTGTTTGAACTGTTCTTATAAAGACGAAATCCCTTTTAAGATAGTGGGCGTTTTTAAGATGGTGGGTACACACCACCCTCCCCCGCTATATGCCGGTCAATAGAAAAGTCAAAATGTAAAAGATCAAAACTATAATGTGTGAATGAAGAAGAGTCATCTATTTTAGTTCTTGCGTCTTTCTCCAAAATAAATTGTGCGGTCAAGACCTTTATAGAAAAAACGAGTCAGGTTTCAAAGAGGCAACGACTTTGCCCGAAGAAGGGGTTAGACAAGTTGACTGAAAAGTAACACTGTGATCTTTCTCATTATTATTTCTGCGAAAAAATGCCAAAGAGTCTCACTCACGGCAAATGGACTCCAAGCCCAAATAAAGGGATTAGAGAAGTTGACTCAAAAGTAACTTGTCATGTAGCTACTTATTGTCTCTGCAGAAACATCCAAGGAGTTTCACTTACGG